GAACATTCGGACTTCACCAACGAAATACGGTTTCAAATTTACCAACATAGAACGTGCTGCAACACCTATCAGACATAAGAGACGATGACAAACCACTGACAACCGTATATATTCGCCACAGATTTTAGTTTCTCCTTGCACCTCGTGGATAAGCAAGTGCATAATATGCAGTCATGAATGTTATACCAAGTACAAACATAATCACAACCAATGAAACAACATATATTGCTTGCAACGGTTCCTTTTGTCCCTCAACCTGGATCCATACGCTCACCGCCGCCACATTCTCAATGAAAAACACTGTATACCAGACGGCGTACACTGTCCCCACCGTCCGAAATCGTTGGCGACGGCGAATGTTAAGCAAAGCTACGTCGAAACAGTGAACTGCGGCTATGACCGCGACAAAAACGGCTTCAATAAGGGAACATGAGTTGAGATTTTCGTAGGTGAGAAAAATAAAGGAGAAAGTCCAGTGGAGAAAGAGGCACCCAAAGAAAACCAATTGCTGATAGGGATGATGTCGAATGCAAGCGGCCAGAAGTGCTAGTGAAAGGAGGCGACTGGCGAGAACAAAGACCTTCCAAACGAAAAAGATAGATATGGCGGGGAGATCGCGCCACTGAGTGGTGGTAGGGAGGGCTGTGTTGGAATTGTGAAGTGCAATTTGGTAGGCGGTTAGGCAGTAGGCTAGTGCAAAGAGGGACGTGCCACAGCTGATATACTGTAAGGGAACTAGCAAAAGTTTCGATTGATTTAATTCAAGAAAGAGAAATATTTTATAGCTGCTGGATTTATGGTTGGATCATTTCCCATTTGGTGTTGATTTAAATCCCCGTCTAATGGAATCCCATCCCTTTAAAGTCACATATTATGCACAGACGAGGCAGTAAAAGAAAATGTAGACAGTCTAAAAGTAAAAGGCATGAGTTGACGCCGAATGGGTTTTTCCAATCACTCACTGACAATTTAACCCTTGTAATTGATGCTTCCAACTTATGCATCTGCTTTGGGAGGATCCTAAACTTACCCAGACTGGGTGGAGAATCAGTAGTGTTGTTGGCTAGCATGATATAGAGTTGAAGGACAAGTTGCGGTGCACACTCCATAAGACCCTCCATCACCTGTAACATCGCACAATCTGCTAATTCATAGAGTCTCAACTGCGTAAATTGGGCGACCTCATCCAGGTTGAATTTGTTGAAACGTAGACCTTGAAAGCCATAAATTAGGGCGTCGATCTGCCTGAATTTGAGCCAAAATGACATTTTTAGAATCTGTGGCGGTTACAATACATTAACAATTAGTTAACCCATGCTAACCAAGTGATTTGTGCATTGGAATCTACCTTACAATTGGGGCCATTTGAAGCGCATGCAACGTGAGACGCCACGTCCATCCACAAACACCTCGTTGCGGTTCCATGCCAGCACGTATATCAAGAAAGTACCAAACTAAGCTAAAGATTGTCATCACAAATGATGATAATAAGACCACTGACAATGTCATAGTGGCCAGGTGAAAATGACCCTATGACAAAGGTAGGAATTTATGGTCCATAATAAGAGTTGTTCTTACTTCTTTAAAGTAACAGATCACGAGGTAAGTGTCGCATACAACGTCAGCAAAATATGTTGTTACAGAAGTCAGAAACGCGAGTAATCCCCACTGCCAGTGAAATCGACGGGAAAGTAAGAAGCGACGCAAGTGCTCACGATGTTCTTCCACTTTTCTTCCATTTGCCTCCTCAGGAACAATATCTTCTGCATCGGGTGTGAGTGATCGTGCCCAAAACGCTGACAGTGGCTGTTCGGTCTCAAAACTCTCAGGAAAACGCGTACTCTCACTGACGTTGCAAGAGGCCAACCTCGAATCGTCAAAAAACCGAACACAAGTTATTTACATTTCGTGACCAACTAAGCCACAAAACAGATATACACTTATGTGCCTCAATTTCACACCTGTATTTGTCTTTGTTAACCGCTTCAATTTTTTGGTAAATACGGCGTAGAGCACAAAATGAGGTGGCTACGTCATTGAAACCAACAAGACCCATAAATATTATTCCCCCATTAGATGTGGAACTAATTTAGCAATTAGTAACGAGGAACAAAAGTCATACATTCATTCTTTCAGGGTTGCTAATAGCACACAATTAAAGGATTCGTATTTCTTCACTACAGGATGTCTATATAAATAACCTGGTAGAAAGAGCTATGCTATATAAAAGTAACTTATCATATACACGTTTGCGTCGGCAAAGATTGACGAGCAGCTGCGAGCAGAGAGAAAAGAAGGACGGAGGAATGAATGAGTAGGACCTTGAGTGTGCGTGTGACTAACAAAAATAATCGGAATCGGCGGTGTCGAATGATAGCTCATTTCTGACGAAAGCGGTAAAAACTGAAGTGCAAAAAATAATAAAACCAACTTAACTCATTATAAATCAGTCTTATCAAAAAATATTGATTGTTTGGGCATCGTTACGAACGCCCATACCTACAAGCAAACTCGACCCGCCTTTGAATCAGACGTACCTTGAGCTTTGACAAACAATGCCTGTATTCAAAGCACAAACGAGCGATGCAGCTGATATCGCGACCTAGAACCACCAAACCACCCAGCCAACAAAAACGCTCCACTAATATGAACAAAAGCGTATTTCACCGGAAATATGCAGGATAAACTTTGCTGTCAAATGTTTTTGATTTTAACTCATTAAAGATAACGTCTAAACCCCATTGGAATAGGTAGAATTGCTAACACTTTATTAATTGCATCAAAGTTATTCATTTAAGATTGCTTTTATTAAACCAGGAATCTGTATAATAACTATAGCTATTGCGCTAGAGTTAAATGCACACTGTAATGCTTTGTGTGTCACCATGACGTTCGGCGATCACTTCAAGATCTGTCTAGTCCTTATGCCTGTGAGTCGATCTTCGGGCTACGCTCGGGCCTAGTCGCTTCGTTCTCTTCGAAATACATGTATCCAGACTCGCTCACTGCCTTCTTCTACCTGGTGAAGAGTCTTGGGACGCCACACTGGTGGGAGAGGAAGGCGAACCCGACATTTTTTAACGACTTCTCTACTAGCACGCACCATTATTTGCATGTAGTTATGGCGTTGAAGAAAAGCATTTTCATCGGTGGTGGAAAATCCTTGAATCCCTCAAAACGAAAGGTTTAAGAATGACGTGTATATTTGGCTTCATCTTATTTCCGTGTTCTGCAGACAAGCCATTAACAACTGAAGCGGCACCGTAGTGAACCATCTTGGAAAGCCTCATTTTGGAAGTTTCCCTACAAAATCCGTGTATGTGTGTCGGAAATGACACCATGGTTCGCATTATATGCGAAACAACCAGAGTTTTGCTGTCTAGTCTTTGAAGCAATTCATGATTAACACATGTATGCGGTCCCGAATTTGGGTGTCAAACCGAACGTAACTGCAGGCCCAGGTGAGGCTGCCGAGATCAAATACGGTTCCTCAGTTTCGTGGTGGCTGTCGACTGGCGCGATTGGCTCGTAGGTGTTTTCTTGTAGTACCGGTCACTTTAAGATTTGTCTGGCCCTTGTGCTCGGGGTCCGGCCTTCAGGCTACTCTTGGCCCTAGTCGCTTCATTCTCTTCGGAGTACGTGTATCCACCCTCATTGCCTTCTTCCACCCGGTGAGAAGTCTCGGAGAGCTATACACATATATTTTTATGGATACAAAGAAAGGATGGGGACCTCTGACATGGCCTGATGGCTTATCCATCCGACGGACGCAATTTCGCAAAGCCCTAAAACTTCCCGTTTGGTAATTGAAGGGACAGGGCATGAATGAACATTTGCATTTCCCCTACAAACCTTCCTCTTTGGTCATTGCAACATCACTATGGATGAAATAAAGCATTCTCAAACTGGACGCGACGATCATAAACGTCCAGACCACAGAGGAAAGACACTCAACTCCAGTAGTACTGAGGGATCCAGAATCCTGCCCAGTTTGTAAGCAGACTTTTCTGGTTACCATCGTGTGTCTATGACTACACATTGATTTACTAGCCTAAAAGTTTATTCGCAAATGGAACACGAGGTATACCCGAGTTCCGCGTGGATAGGAACTCAAGCAGTGTATTTTTACCAATGCCCATATTCAGTTGAGGGATTAACAATTCTCATGTGGTTTACAGCAGATACCGTTCTTGCTTCTAAGAGCCTTTGTATGGTAATCAGGAACGGGATAATTGAACGCCAGACCCTTTAGGACGTCTTCGTACTCACCATTACACAAAAGCGGCCACATTTATCTCTACACCCATGCCGATTAGGAAAGAGAAAAAGGGCACAAGACGATTTTCAAAGCGGCATGTTGGCATGTTTCCGTGGGTACAGACTGATGGAAGGCAAACGTTTACCCTTTAAGAGGTCCAAGTCAGCGCAGAGTCGTGCTCGAGTTGTACGCGGCTCGATAATGCCATCAAGATAGCCACGCGCCAGTGCTGGAAACGGACCAGCAAAAGCACGCTCGTAGTCGGCCTCTAGAGTAGCTATCGACTCAAATGCGGCAAGCCTCTCACGGAACACTATTGGTACAGCGCCTTTCGCTCCCATAACTGCAATCTAAACGAATGATGGAAGGGTTACCATGATTTTTTGGGCCTAGAATCACGCCAATCTCAGCTCATAAAAGAATATCACCGCAAGGTTGTCGAGCATAGCGAACCTTGGTGATGTGTAAACCTCCAATTCGAATAAATTGGATTTAATTAGGAGACACTTTTGATGCTTCCACTAAGTATGAAATATCTAATGTCCTCACCAGTGCGACACCTCTCTCCATCGTTTCAAAGCACCAGTGACTGAGTGAAGTTGATGCCTATCATTTTGGTGGGCTGATGGGAGCAAAGAGATCGGCACTGATAGGACGCAGAAAACGCGTTACAAAGAATAACCAACAAGTAACATTTTCTCACAATAGACCTATGCACGGCGACCAAACAGCACCGCCAGAGCAGCCACTGCATACACTAGAGGAGGGTAGTAGGTTGGAAAGCCAACCGCATACGGTTTAATCTGGCAACGTCCCAAACAATAGGCCATTTGTCATTACGGTTCATATTCTCTTTTTCTCCCTTCCTCCTTTAGCAAACTCACCTCAGCACTAGGCCAAGCATAGTTCATGTCGCCACGAAGGTGCTTCGAGCTCATCACGCAATATGCTCCACCGTACGCCTTGCGCGTGATCACCGTCACTTTGGGCACACTCGCTTCACAGTAGGCAAAGATCAGCTTTGCTCCATGACGAATTATACCTCCAGCCTCTTGGCCAACGCCAGGCAAGAAACCGGGAACATCGACCAGGTTAACCAACGGGAAGCCAAAGGCATCACAGAAGCGAACAAATCGAGCTCCCTTCACGGCTGCGTTAATATCTATGCAACCCGCAGCCACTGTAGGCTGGTTAGCAATAATGCCCACCGGTCGACCAGCCAGGCGTGCAAAGCCAGTGAGGAGGTTGGGTGCAAATGTAGGCATTAGCTCGAAAAAATCCGATTCGTCCACGACGGCCTGTTGAGCTAAGTGGAAGAGGTACTGGTAAGGTAGAGACAAGTCCATCAAAACTGGGGCTGGTGTCGTGATGATCCCACATCCAATTAAAACACTGTCAGGCCACCCAAGGAGAGGCATTTCCCACAGTGTTAAAACACAAATGCACACTATATCTCAGTAGTTCAAACTTTGCTCCGTAAGTTCTCGCAAGAAGAACCTCACATAAAACACCCCAAGTAGAGAAAATTCCAAAGCCTTCTTTACTAACAGAGAACAAAACACAATCTCAATTCGAGTGGAAAGGACCACTTTTCGCACCAAAATAGACCAAATCAATTGGAGTAACAAGATGGAAGGCAGAAAAACGATTGGTATCTGTAAGACCAGTTCCATCAACGGCTTCAGCTCCCTCACTTTCAAACATACAACAAGGCCGATGAATAAAGCCGGAAACCGTGATAATTGAGCTCCTGTTGTGAATACGTGCAGTTTTGTGTCAGGCGATTGACTCAACTTGTCAAAAAGCAACAACAGCATTGACATCGGTTATACGGCTATCACTCAATAATCCAAAATGGCAAACAACTTTGAAGAAAAGCACCCCTGCGGAGTTAGTGTTTGTGGCAAATCGACCATATAGGTGTAGGTTAGGATATGCTTGTGGCTCATTTCAAAACCCTGACTGCATTTCAAGATCTAGTCAGTTATGAGCCACCTATTCCGAGTCGTACTAGCTGCATGCCTCAATCTATTCCCACGTTCAACTCCATGCATGGTGATATTCAACACCTGTAAATTATGACTGCGTGTCCGAATAGTAGGTACGAGGAGGGGGAGACGAAAAACAATGACACAAAACAGAAACGACTGTGAGACATGAAAATAGCATATAACCCAATAATGGTGAGGTCTTATGCATTCAATTCCACTTCACATGAATGTTTTTGAAACGACAAAGGCGGGAGTGATGCTGTACAGCCATAAAGACGACACAAAACACGCGGCATTCAAGCCCCTATCTACTAGATTTTTGTGGCAAGATCTTCCTAAAATCAATGCTTAATATTTATCCAAAAACGACATACGTGGATTACTTTGTGCATATCATAGGAAGTGGAAGGATCCTTTGGAACGACGTAATCAAGAAACGGAATCAAACGATCCACAGGATCGTGACACTCTCTACACGGCGGCGCTTCATGATTACTTGAGGGCAGAAAGGTAATAAACTCTCTCAGGGAAAGTAGAGCTTCCACTTCGTTGTCAAAAGCTCTGTGCGCAACACCAGAGACGGTGGTGTGAATTTCAGAGCCGCCTAGTTCTTCCTGAGTTACTGTCTCATTTGTGACCTGTTTTACGACCTCAGGGCCGGTGATAAAGAGATGAGAAGTATCCCGAACCATGAAAATAAAATCCATAAGGGCTGGGGAATAGACAGCACCACCAGCACAAGGACCCATGATAAGAGATATTTGAGGAACGACACCAGAAGCATCGATGTTACGCTGAAAAATCTCTGAGTAGCCGGCCAGAGAATCAACACCCTCTTGAATACGAGCGCCTCCGGAATCATTAAGACCAATAATAGGCGCACCAATCAGCATCGCTTGATCCATTACTTTGCAGATCTTCTGGGAGTGAACCATCCCAAGACTACCTCCATAGACAGTGAAGTCCTGGCTATGATAGAAATAACAAAACATGACCACAAAAAGAGGATATAAACGAACCTATATATGAATACACTGCGACCATTAATTTTGCCATGACCAGTGACAACACTATCACAAGGAATCTTGTTTTTCTCCATTCCAAAGTTTGTGCAAGAGTGCTCCATGAAAGCGTCATACTCGATGAAGCTATCGTCATCGAGAAGAATATCCAACCGCTCACGCGCAGTGAGCTTTCCGCGCCCATGCTGGGCATCGATACGCTCTTTACCACCACCAAGTAGTACCTGCTCTCGTCTCTTTACGATATCTTTCATAATTACTCCCGAATGCCGCCACCTGAATATCATTCTCAGACGCGAAACCACATTCGCGAGCAAGACTTGATCACCACGTGACCTTGAAAACATTATCTGCTTCATACAGTAGCACTTCAGATTTAATAAAAGCAAAATATTTTAAGATCGCACAATTTGTCTATTTAATTTTGGTTTGTGTTCGAATTAATGATATTAAACTGAATTAACAAAATGTTGTTTGAATGTGTTCTAATATGGCATCCGCCATTGCTACTGTTATCAGTATTAACGATGTCGGCTGAAGAGAGGAAGGCGGAAAATGCTCAGGCTGTTGAGGTACTTAGTCGTGAGGTTCAGAGCCTAGATGAGAATTCGTTCCCAACGCTGAAGTCCATTGGCGAGAACGGTACGTGCGTGATTTTCTCCGTGATCGTTTTGTAGAACTATTCCGCCTCCGCGGTGGCATTTCTGACACTCTCGACGTTGTTGATAACAAACGTGTAAAGATTCGGGCTAAGGTCACTATTCCTGTGGAGCAGTACCCCAGTATAAATTTTGTCGGAAAGCTTCTTGGCCCAGGTGGGCAAACCCTCCGCTCTATTCAGGAAGAAACTCGCACCAAAATGGCCATTCTTGGGCATGGTTCGCTGCGGGATGAGGCGAAAGAGAAGGAGCTCTTGTCCGGTGGCGACCCAAAATATCAGCACCTAAAGCAACCACTCCATCTCCAGATCGATTGTCTAGCTCCCCCTGCAGAGGCCTATTATAATGTCTCCCATGCACTTGCTCAGGTGAAACGTGTCATGATGCCAGATGCAAATGGTCAACAGAATGCTCCGTGGGGTGTTGGCACTCCAAATGCCGCCAGCCGTGGTGCTGCCGCCATGCGTGGTCGCGGTCGAGGTCGTGGTGGCTTTGCGAATCAGGCGGCCTACGGAACTCCGGCAAGCTTTGCCACTCCACCGGCAGGAGGTATGCGCGGTGCTCGTGGGGGCGCTGCTAGGGGTCGTGGTTGGGGTGTTAGCAGCGCAGCTCCTACTGCCGGTCCAGCGACCGCCGCTGTTCCGGCTCAAGGTGACGTCTACGGGAACGGAATGGAGCAGTATGCTTATCCTGACCAGCTGACCTACGATCAAAGTCAGTACACTGCCACGGGCTACGAGGACTACTCGGCGCAATACGGTGTGTTTATGTCTCTGCCCATTGTTTTGCGGTCTCTCCTCGACCATCGTGTCTCGCTCGTGGTGTGGTTCACTTTTAACCTCTGTACCTGACGATTTTTTCTTGATAACCTAACAACTCGCCCTAACTGCCAAATTTTCGACCTAGGCCAAACCGATGCATGGGGCAAAATGCTTACAACCGATAGTCGAGGACGAGCGCGTGCACATCCTTATGCCAGACCAGGAGGAAAGGAGGAAACTGCTTGAGTGCCTCCTAAACGCTTAAAATCTCCCAATTTTAAACTCCACTCATGCATTTGTGCGATCGTTTTCGCGAGGATATTTCACCTGTAAAATTGCGTATAAACTGCCCTTCCCTAAAATCCATAACTGTGTAGTGAAATACTTGCCCGTATTATATACATATATATATATATATAT